GTGTGAGTGTGTGCATGCTGAGAGTGCCACTGCAGTTGTGTGAGTGTGCGTGCTGGGAGTGCCACCACCGTTGTGTAAGTGCACACTGGGAGTGCCACCACAGTTGTGTGAGTGTGTGCATGCTGAGAGTGCCACTGCAGTTGTGTGAGTGTGCGTGCTGGGAGTGCCACCACCGTTGTGTAAGTGCACACTGGGAGTGCCACCACAGTTGTGTGAGTGTGTGCATGCTGAGAGTGCCACTGCAGTTGTGTGAGTGTGCGTGCTGGGAGTGCCACCACCGTTGTGTAAGTGCACACTGGGAGTGCCACCACAGTTGTGTGAGTGTGTGCATGCTGAGAGTGCCACTGCAGTTGTGTGAGTGTGCGTGCTGGGAGTGCCACCACCGTTGTGTAAGTGCACACTGGGAGTGCCACCACAGTTGTGTGAGTGTGTGCATGCTGAGAGTGCCACTGCAGTTGTGTGAGTGCACATGCTAGGAGTGCCACCTCAGTTGTGTGAGTGTACACATGCTGGGAGTGCCACTGCAGTTGTGTGAGTGCATGCTGGGAGTGCCACCACCACTGTGTAAGTGCACACTGGGAGTGCCACCACAGTTGTGAGTGTGTGCATGCTGAGAGTGCCACCTCAGTTGTGTGAGTGTACATATGCTGGGAGTGCCACTGCAGTTGTGTGAGTGCATGCTGGGAGTGCCACCATCGCTGTGTAAGTGCACACTGGGAGTGCCACCGCAGTTGTACGAGTGTGCACACACTGGGAGTGCCGTTGTTTGATGGCTAGGGAAACTACTCTCTGGGGCACACCCACAGTGTCTTGGGCCGTCTGCCTTGCAATGGCAGAAGTGGATTTAGCTCGGGACTGTCTGAATCCAAACACCAGCCTCTTCCCTGCCGCTGCGCTCAGGTCTCCCATTCTGAGAGAGAGGCCAGGCTCAGGTTGCGTGAGACTGGGTTGACATTCAGGTTCCTGGGCAGAGGTGAACAATTCTGTCCCTCTGCATCTGGGCTGGAATGTCTCCTAGAAACGGAGTGATGCCGAGGACAGAACGGGAGTTATGCCGAGGACAGAAAGGCAGGAAGGCCTCCAATAGGACTGAACCGGGCTCCCAGCAGCTGTGTAGTTCTAAATCCCACTTCACAGGTGCCACTCCCCACGGTCATGCAGTGAAGGGCTAAGCCAGGGCATCTGGGCCAAAGCCTGCTTCGCTCCCCTGTCGGCATTGAACTCTCTTTCAATCTGTTTGCTCCAGTCCTAAACCTCTTTCATCGCTCTTCCACCTCTGGCCTGCAACTGGGCACATCTGCATATTTCCTCAGGCCCCCAGCACCCTTCTCCCGTGCTGGCCACTCTGTCCCCGTCTGCCCTTGCCTCGCATTCTTCTCACCCTGCTTCTGTGCACAGCTCCAGCTCAGTGGATGATGGTCCACTCACTGGCTGGAACTACGTCTTTGCCTTGTCCTCGAATTTGAATGTCGGCTTTCCACACCCACTTCCTAGACGTTTACTACCTGAAAACCTCCAAGGAGCCGGGGACTTCCGATCTGAGTTTGTAAATCAATCCTCAAAACCTTTATTTCCGGGAATTACGGGCCTGTGTCTTGTTAATCTTGTTAACCTTCGATTCGAGGATTAACTCAAGAGCCTAGCGTAGTTCCTAGGATAGTGGAGCTGCTTAAGACGCGCCTGTTGCTCTTCCCCACTGTACAAGAGGGCCGTGAAAGAGCTGCGAGCAGGACACTGAGGAGAAGCAGCCTGAAGCCAAGAAGGCTGATGCCGGTGGCAAGGTTAAAAAGGGGGACCCCAAGGCTAAAAAGCCCAAGAAGGGAAAGCCCCACTGCAGCCGAAACCCATCCTAGTCCGGGGCATCAGCAGATACTCCTGGTCTGCCACGTATTCCAGGAAGGCCATGTACAAGAAGAGGAAATACTCGGCCACCAAATCCAGGATCGAAAGAAAAAGAAGGAGAAGGTTCTTGCGACTGTCACAAAACTAGTTGATGGAGACAAGAATGGTGGTACCTGGGTGGTTAAACTGCGCAAAATGCCTAGGTATTATCCTACTGAAGATGTGCCTCAAAAGCTGTTGAGCCACAGCAGAAAACCCTTTAGTCAGCATTTGAGAAAGCTGCGGGCCAGCATCACTCCTGGGACCATTCTGATCATCCTCACTGGATGCCGCAGAGGCAGGAGAGTGGTTTTCCTGAGCAGCTGAGCAGTGACTTGCTACTTGTAGGTGGACCAATGGTTCTCAATCGAGTTCCACTGCGTAGAACACACAAGGAATTTGTCATTGCCACCTCCACGAAAACTGATATTAGCAAGGTAAAAATCCCAAAGCACCCTACCGATGCTTACTTCAAGAAAAAGAAACTGCAGAAGCCCAGACACCAGGAAGGTGAGATCTTTGACACAGAGCAGGAAAAATACGAGATTTCAGAGCAGCGCAAGATTGATCAGAAAGCTGTGAACTTGCAAATTTTACCAAAAATCAAAGCTCTTCCTCAGCTCCACGGCTACCTGTGATCCGTGTTTGCCCTTACAAATGGAGTTTATCCTCACAAATTGGTGTTCTAGATTTTTTGCCAAGAACTTAATTAAATAACTGATCATGAAACGAAAAAGTGCTTGTTGAGTTACGCGTAACTACTATGATGACGTAGTAGCTTCCAACGTGCCAAACGCTGGCCTGCTTTCCCCGTGGGTGACTTCTGAGCCTAGTACTGCCATGCACACATTTCACAGGTATGGCTAGTGAGGCTGGCAGTGGGTAAGTGACTTCCCACGTTCTTTAGCTGTTCATGAAAAGACCTACAACGAGGCTTATTGCTGCAGTGTCTGTGCTGATGAAAAGAATTCTAGTTTAGGTTCCAGTACAGGTTCTGCCATTCATGCATTCATGATTTGGTTTAGGTGTTCCACCTTTCCAAGCCTCAGCTTTCTCGCCTGGGAAATATGTTGCGTGCATTTATATTTTTTAAAAAATTTATTAATTTTTTAAAAATATTTATTTAATGTTATTATTATTTTTTAATATGACAAGAGAATGAGAGAGAAAGAGAGAGAGAGAGAAAGTGAGAGAGCAAGCCACCAGGTCAGAGACTCGAACTGTGGTTGAACATGTGGAAGTCCAGCACCTTAACCACCGTGCCACCTGCCAGCCCCTGCGTGCATTTGCTAGATTAGCTTTAAGTCTGTAAGTCTGTGTACTACCACCAAACGACCCCCAGTGCCATCACTTAGCTTTCTATGAGCATAGTCAGCAAATGAGAAAAACGATTTTCCACTCTTTATAAAAAACCTGTATGTTTCATCATAATAGCTAATCACAGTCAATATGAATGAGCAACACAAATCATTATATGTAAGTTTAACGTAAAATTAGAAGTAAAGTTTTAAATAAACATAGAGACATTAAGTGCCTTACTTCTGCCTTGGCCTGGAGGAGAAAGGCACCATTCTTTGAACCCATTGGACACATTTCCACTTCCAGTTAAGATCTTTGGTCCCCCTGACTAATTTCTCATCAGAAAAGGTTACAGATAGTCCTCTTATCTACTAGTGCAGCAGTTCCAAAAGTGCATTTGTACACTCATGGCAGGTCTCACAGAAATCTCTCCGGTAGTCCAGTAAGTGCAGAGAAACGCTGTTTAACCAGGTTTCTTCGCACCGCAGCCACAGAGAGCCTTCCACATGCTCGTTTGTGTTGAGGCTCCGTATGACTGCATGGAGGGATGCATCGGTTCTGAAATGTACTTAAACACAGGACGTCTGGCCAGGGCGGGAGGTGGGGTGGGGTGAGAGGTGGAGGTGGATGGAGCGTTGCTCATCTCAGAGATGAGGGCCCATGGAGTGCCTTCTGGGACAGCCTGATCTAGAGCTTTCTTTCCTGTCTTGGCCCTTCTTACTCATGACAAACTACTGCTGACGTGCGTGTTTTTCCAAAATAGAAAGTTTGTAAGTGATCATTGCTTTACACATCCCGACAAGTAGAACATTCCTAAATTCCAAACAGAAGCTGAGAAAGGGAGGAAAGAGCCCCAGGCAGGTGCTGCCAGAGTTCTATCCCGCCTGCCCGTCATTATCCACCCACTAACAGCTGTGCGGGGTGGAGTCTCGTCAGGGGTTTGCTTCCATACAGACTCACAGAAAGAGGAATACGTTTGGAGTATGATAGGAGAACTTTTGATAGCGCATTAGCTTTTTCTCCCTTGAATAAAGCCTTTGTATTGGGACCAGCAAATGGTGTAATGGTTACATCAATGGGCTCCCCCATAGTCGACTACAGTTCGAGTCCCGGACCTGGTGGCTTAATACTCATGCTGGGCACATGTGCATGTGTGCCCAAGATCTTCAAAAGAGACTGGAGGATGGACTGCAGTGTGGCCATTCACCCTGGGGGGTGATTTCTCACTTTCTGTCTCTCTATCTCTCTGGTCTCTCTGGTAAGTGCACATGCCCTATACCAAAAATCTCTTTCCAAAAATTAATTAAAGGCTTCGTTTTAAAGTAAACTAAAGGAGGCACAGGACACGTCCCCTCCAGATGCCCACACTGTGTCGGTAATCTCACCTGTAGGTGACTCAGCGGTCAAGCTGCCTTCCTGATCTAACGAAAGCGGTGAACACGGGGGTGGGGGGGCAGTCAGCCTGAGGTCTGGACTTGCTGAACAGCACCAGGACTCCTAGCCAGGCTTCCTGAGATACCTATAAGTGTAGCCATGGAGATCGCTGCAGGGAAAGTGCAGGCGGAGGTGGGCGGAGGTGTCAGAATAATGATGATGCTGATTGAGGTGGAGACATGGACTCAAACCAGAAACCAGTCATGACCCCCCTATGAGCCTTGGACGAATGTCTATTTTGATTTACTGGAAAAAGGTTGAGAAACTAAGTGTGTTTACACACACAGCTATGAGCTTGCTCAAGGGTCCAAGGTTAGAAACATTGGCAAATCCTATCCAAAGTACTGACTCAGGGAGACCAAGGCTGAGAATTCAAGGTGATAAGCTGGGACACAGTATTTCAGACCCTGGTCAGCCATTCAGACTGCAATCACAAACTGCCCCACCCTTCCTTAAAGTGCTCCACAAGGTGGCCTGTCCCTCAGCTCCACACACTGACCCTCTGCGCCTGGTCCCGACAGGATGTGTGTGCTCCTACCCCTGGCACTCTGTGCCCTGGTCGCGAGCTGCCAGGCTGTGTCTCCACCCCAGCAGTCTCTCGGTCCTTTGCCTCTGCTCTCCCGGGCCTGCAACGACGTAGATGTCCTGGGGGTTGCAGGACTCGCCCTGCAGGACATCAACAGGGACAGGAAGGACGGCTACGTGCTGAGCCTCAACCGAGTGAATGATGTCCGGGAACACAGACAGGCAAGTACAACCCCCTCGCTGGGGCAAGCATTTGGAAAAGCTGCAGAGACTGACCAGGGTGGGACCCAGAGACACATGTTCTCAGGCACCTTCCAAATTGTAGCCCTGTGAGAACCTTGCTCTCTCTACCAGGGGGTGCTACGATGCTCTTGTTGGAAACAAGCACTAAGAGTGACCCTGCTCTGACACTTGTCTAGTGGTCAGTGGTCTGTAAAGCATCTTTGCAAACGTTGCGACCTTTGGCTCTCTCGTACAGCAAAGGCTCACTGTCCAGTCTTCAGGGGTTTCCGTTTCATGTGACATGGTGCGTTTCTCCATCCTTCACAGAACGGCCTGGGATCTCTTTTCTATCTCACGCTGGACGTCTTAGAGACCAGCTGCCACGTG